AGTTAATTTGCATATTCTCATGACCATGCTCCATGGTCCGTGCGGGAGCGTTGTTTGGTGTTCCGCGTTAGAAACTTATGCGAAACACTTTGCTCGTTATTTCCCTGGAATAGTCCGACCACGGTCAAGAAGTTGCAGGGGGCTTGCAAAGTTGCAGGGTTTCATAATAGAACGTTTTTCCTAGCTGCAGACGGCTTTATATGCTGTTTTCATGGCGTCTTACAAGCGCAGCCATGTTCGTCTACACTTTCTGGAGGATCAGTAGCTAGGCTCAAATTTATCTCGGATTAGTATTTAACTATAATGTTTGGTGGAACTAGTTTGCTTTCAACAACATGTTTTGCGCAACTATTTTGATTATCACGAAAACGCAAGTCGAACTTAGCAGACACCAAAACATGGTCAAAATCTAGACAACCACTCCATATGGGGTAGCAGCCCTGTATGCCCTCACGCCATTGTTAGCTGGTTGCAATGTGATCTACTTAAGTCCGAGCTTGATTGTCAAAGCGAGGACAACAAGTTGCACAGTGGTGACCACTGTGCTGAAAGTTGGTGCTGGGTAGAAATAGGTTGTGACGTGTCCAAAGCTGCAGAAGATGAGCCTCATATCCGACCTGGACCTACTAGTCCGCACTGGCCACCTAAACGACTCTTATCTGAGCCTAGATGCCCGACCTGAGCACTCAGGTCCCCAGCTAGCATTATGATATCTGTCGAGTACACTTGGTTGAGAAGTTCACTCAGTTGGTGATACGATTCATCCTTGGTGTATCCGGGCTGTAATTCGTCGAGCACATGCAGAGATGTCGAAAAGATATACTTTCTCTTGGTAGTTACTTCTTACTCGAGACGAGCCTTCTAGCCTAACTGCAAACGAACGACTGTTGATGAGGCTTAAGTCGAGTAGAATAGCTTCGGGTTGAGCGTGATTGGGATACCGACACCAGAGAGGCCGTTTGCCGATACCACTTGGTTGCCGGGTCAGTGTACATGAAGCATAACTTCCAGCTGACAGGTGGGTAACTAATTCCGAACACATCACTGTGATCTTGCTTGGGGGTCTTTGGAATTCAGCGCGTATCAACAGCAAGGCTTTCTAGAGTGCAGCCAAACCTACCTGTTGTCCGATCCGCATCAAGATGCGAACGTTGAAGGTGGAGAGCTCAAACAGTAAGCGTGGTTTTAGGAGAGCTGTGTCTGATGTCGAACTGAAGGACAGCTTTATGGGGCAGCATTTAGCTACTCAAAACGGACCAGACAAACCAGAAGTCTAAGCAACGGATAGCAGTTGAGTGAAGCGAAAATGAAGAGAGGTTCGAAAATGGTAATCATAAAAAATACAGTCCATATGTCAAAGCAAACAAAATAATAGCAATGAATTGAATAGACGGCTAAAAAATTCGTAGTGCAGAGAGCTTGAGTATTCATAAGAAAGTTGGTTGGAAGTCTTCCTTCTGTATTGTAAATTCATATATTGTGTGAGGTCTGGGATACTTCCTTGGCACTCAGGACCGAAGAAGTTGACCATCTCAGGGTACCACGCCACGAGCCTTTGACTTAAAGTCTAATACACAATGTAGTGGAGAAATATCATGAGCTGCATTCCTATGGTTTCCCGTGACCAAAATAGGTTCATACGCCACACGTTCCATCTGGGACCTATAGGCAATGAGCACCACTGGTCTCGAACTAGGGTTTATCAACCGTCCCAGGTTGACCCTCAGTACCCACCAATCCGATGGTACGCGCCGGACATTAGCTTCCGCCCTTTGTCTTTTGTAGAAACACCCTCGTCACGCAAAGGAAGTGAATAGGACTTCACTGGTAGGCGTTGTCAGTCCCTCAAGGATGCCAAGTCTCTCCATTCCTGCTCATTTTCGTCCTCAAGGAGGTCTTCCTCTCGTCAGTTCAACTAGCCTCTGGTGTCCCGCTATCCAGTCAAACCCTGAAGGGAACAAAAGCTGAGGAGTCTGTTGGTAACCTACGGCGATGAAGGACAGCATAGTGGGGTGTACTATTACCGGAGGCTTTTCAGGACGGTGATCGAGGATTATCAGTCAGGCTAACTGCAGTGTTGGTTAGCGTAGGGCAATCTGATATGATCCTATCTGGTTGGTCTCAATCACAGCGCTCATAAAGTACCTATTCCAATTGGAGAAGCTTTTAGAGAAGTCTTTCAAACTGAATCTATTATCGCAGATGGCTTTGAAAAGTTCTGCCGGAAGAATAACGAATCTTGGTTTTAACGTGATCATTATAGTGGGCGAATACAGACACAAATTAAACGCAAAATTGTACATTCGTTTCATTTGTTAGACTTTTAATAGGTTTCTCATAGAGAACTGAAAGCGGTACCAGCTGACGATAGTCAGGACATCTGTTGTGATAGTGAAGTTGTTTTGGATAAGGAAGGTGAATGTATACATTTTTGACCGTCCTCTCTAAATAAATTATTCATTATCCGTCTAATCTTTTGACAGAAAGTGTACCTCGTAGTAGATACATTAGGCCAAAGGTTGGATAGTCAGAGGAAACATCATGACATCGTCAAAAACATTTTTCACTAGATGTAGGGCCATAATAGGAAATGTCTGGCCGTCGTCTAAAACATTCAGCTGAACGTCTTTTATAGTGAGTGTCTCAACGTTGCCCTAATTGGTCCGACAAATTTGTTGACTAGGTATTTGGATATGGTGTAACTATTTTGCCTACTGACAAACTTTAAGTAACATGAACGTCCCTGCAAGTTATCCCATGGCCCTACGTACTGGGTTCCGGCCCTACAAACAGCCCAGTTGGCCCGGCTAAAAACGTGGCCCAACTTTTGGCCCCATGTGCACTTAATATGGCTTCAAATCAGATTCATGACCTAACGCTGGGCCTGGTGTTTACTGAATGAAACCGACAGGCAGGTTTTGGAGTTCATTTCTTCTTCACACTATTTCCATGTCACCCTCGGATGCCCAACTCGTCGATTGCCATTTGAGTTCCACTCGAGGACCTGGCACATGATGTCCCCAATCGGTCTTCTCAGTGAATGCCTGGTCCAATCCATCTCCACTTTCTTCTGCATATTTGTTGGGTGATAGGTTCTTGGATGGTTCGTTGCCAGCCAGCCAGAGTTCCTCGTTGCTTATTCTTACTATTCTGGCCATCTGATATTCAGTATCGAGTGAGCGTAGGCAGCTGTTGATGAATGTCTGTTGTCTGTTGGAAATGCTTTTCGTAACTCGCCAAACCTCTGAATCATCACATAGAAGCACTGACTTGACATTAGTGTTGAAAATCCTGATCTTGTTCACGCTTTATGCTGAGTGGAGTGCAGTGCAGTAGACCTCCACACTGCTGTCAGATTAATGAAAGCCTGTCTCACTTTTCCGATCCTGGTTTTGACATCCTCATCTGTGCCGCCTGTAGTTGAAACGATGCTGCCTAGGAAGTTAGGTGAAAGAGGCTACTTCCTTTAGGTTTCTCGCGTTGGTGGTGATTGATGCTTGTTGCTGTCTTCTCTACATTCAATTGAAGTCCCATCTTCGCTGCCTCTTCTGTCAGCGTATGCTCCTCTTCTTGCTACTCACTGTTTCTTGCATGATCCAGTTTAGTTCAGTCAGCCACAATCAGGATGATCATGGGTGATAATAGGTGACAGTCTTGTCTTACTCCTGTCTCCTGTCTTCACTTCAAAGGCGCCACTGAGCTTCTCCCATTGTGAATCACTTGGAATGTGGCATCTCCATATAGCTGTTGAATGAGGTTGATAAAGATTTGTGGTATTCAGTAGTGTTGCAGCAACTGCCTGCCAAATTACTTTTCGGTTGATGCTGTCGAAGGCCTTTTCAAAGTCGATGAAGTTGAGGTAGAGTTGAGTGGACTGCCATTCTATTCTCTGTTCTATGATAATGCGTAGCATAGCGTTGAAATTTGATCCGCATATGATTTATTCTTCCTGAAGCCAGCCAGCTTGTTCACGTCGTAATTTCGAATACACAACATTTTTTAGTCTTTAAAGGATGATGTGGTATGATATTTTGCTTGCGGTGGATAGGGGTGGAGCGTGGTTCCTCGCCAGTTCTTGCAAAGACTTAGGTCTCCCTTCTTTGGAAGTTCGACGAGGTAGCCCTTCTTCTACGCTGCAGATACCTTTCCTTCCTTTCAAACCTTCTGTAGTAGTGGTGTGAGCACGTCCGCTGTTGTTTCTGGGTCTGTTTTTAGTGCTTCTGGAGGAATTCAATCTGGTCCTGCTGCTTTCCCGGATTTCAGCAACCTTATGGCGTTCGGGACTTCACTTCTGCTTTTGACGGTGGGTTTGTGTTCTTTGATATTTCTGTGGCTGGGCTGCTGGTGGTGTTTCTGGACGAGTTGCAGATGGTGGTCGATTCAAGAGTTTTTTGAAGTGGTCAGCCCATCATTTCCTTTGTTTCTCCTCTTTGATAACTACGTTTTCTTGACTATCTTTCATTGGTTTCATCTGTATTGATCTCTTCCCAGATAGTAATTAACATGGTTATTTGATATAGTGTTGTCAGGTCTCTCCTACCTGCAGCCTGTTCTACTTCACTTGACAATGTGTCGTAGAAGTGTCTTTTGTCTTTCCATACACTCTTTTTCACTTCTTTGTCCAGTGTTTTTTTATATGTTGTATTCAGTTCCTCCTTTTATTGTTCATCCCTACACTGCACTGGTTTATCTTCTGCTTCACCATCTTCCTCTCCCTGTTCTATCAGCTTCCATGTGTCCGTCGAGATCCATTCCTTTTTTCGCCTCTTCTTCTTCTTCCTCCCTAATACGGTTATGCAGGTTTCCTTCCATATAGCTTTCAAAGAGCTCCAGTGTTCTTCCATACAGGTTTCTTCAGGGATGTTCCTCGATATCTCCCATTTTGTCTTGATGGCTGACTGACGTGAAAATCTCCTTTGTAGTTTCGTCCTTCAGTTCAGTCTCTGTTCTAGGTGGTTGTTGAACTTGAACTGTGGTCGTCTATCACCAGCTTCTTTTGAGGCTTTCAACTTGATTTGGAAGGTAGGTTCCTTGCACTAGGTAGTGAAGTGAGTGGTGCGAACCTACATCTGCTCCTCTCTCTTCTTGATCTGATCTTGTGACCAGTAGACTGCCTCTCCACTTTCTTCACATTGAGATGAAGTCGATCTGGTTTCTAGTGTGTCCTGGTGTCTGGTGAAATCCATGTCGTTGCCTTGTGAATATCCTTGTGTTCGTACACACTGCCTGACTCCAATCACCAAATCGTTGAATGCACAGAAGTCTGTAAACAGTTCTCCATTCTCGTTCATCATTTCACCGTGTGCCTCTCGACCCATGATGAGTTCTCTTCCTGTGTTGTCCCCCCCTCCCAGTTTGGCATTCATCTCACCCCACCCACTAGAATTTTGATGTCGCCATCTGGGGTGGGGTCTTGTCTATTACTGATTGCAGTTGTCTGTAGAATTCCTCCTTCTTCTCTTGATCTGCATTGTTTGTAGGTGCGTAGCGTGGCGCAGCATTGTATGATTGTGACTTTCCTTCCTTTTGAGTTGAACCTTGCTGTCATGATCCTGGAGGAGATTGGTTCCCAGTGTATGAGAGCCTTCGATGGTCTTAGGGACATCATGATAGCAACTTCATAACTCAGTGTGCTGTGCTGGTGGTTGTCATCTGGGTGAAAATATCGGAGTAGATAACTGACTATCCAGTCGACAGTTTGGAGAGTCCACTTCCATTCCATCTGCTTCCGCATATTCCTAGCACTTCCATGCCATATCTCCTCATCTCTTTCGCAATCTGGACAGCCTTGGTAGGTTCATACATGGTGCGGACATTCAATGTCTCTATGCCTACTTTCGCTTTCATCGAGAGAAGACACATCGACCGACTGGCCTCCCGAAGGCTTTCACCAACTGGCGTCATTTCGTCTCCCCGATTTCAGAGAGAAATAAGTTTGTTTTTGTTTTTTTATATTTTCTTTGTTCTTTGAAGTTTGTTTAGCGAATGGATTGGTTTTACGGGGTAGGGTTACTAGCCCTATGCACAACCTCCCCTCTTTATCTGGGCTTAGGACCGGTCAGTAACTAGTTAACTAGTTATCCAGGCCAGATGAGAACAAACTGTTTGTCGACGGGAATTCGTTTCAATGAATTCATTTTGAAAGCTGTACAGGAAATGTTCGTTTTTGAGATTTTACGATCGTTATGTTCCACATTACATTTTTGATTATGATATTGCACACAATCCGTGTGAAATAGGCTAATGAAATTTGGGATTACATTACACTAGAAGGCCAAAATTGTATAGGATAATCAGTTAGGTTCGAAAATTCGATACATGTTTTTATCAGTAGGTTAGAATTTTGCAAAATATACTTAAACGGGAACATATATAAGGCATTTTTAAAGTCAGTGTTGTTCATTCATTTGAGGGAAAATGACAGCAGTAGTTGATGATTTTGGAAGATGATCTTATTTTTATGGAGTTATCTTCTTCCAAGTATCTCGTTTGTCATCCACAGTATTATTTATTTTTTGCTGATGTTAGTCAGTTGCGGCTGAAGCATTTTGTCAATAACTGTGCTTACATATATGGTGTATATTTAGTTTACAATGTTCATGGCTTTTTAAGATTTGTCTTGGTGCGAACTTGACAGACGCAAAGACCAATCACTAATTATTCGGACTTGTTATATACCCACGAATACGAGACCAAGGAAGAACATGATAGCGTAGTCGGATGGAATAGTATAATGAGATGGTTATGCCAAAATACCAATGCGTTCCAACTAACTGGCTAGAGAGTCGAATACGAGCAGTGCAACGTGACATGACAGCGTGCCAAATGGCGAGGATGCTTTACCGGGTGCCTTCAGCTTAGCGAGTCCAGTTAAACTATCAAGGTCAGCATGAATGTCGAAAGTCGTCAAACCCTAGGCTATTGATTTTGGGGAAGTGTGTGACGCTACAGTTTAACTCACGTTGTTGAAGATGTCAGAGTGCACGGTACCCTAGACTACAACTTCATTTTCAAATTTGAGACATTTTTAAAAACGTTTCTTCCCCACCAGCTATTATAGCAGTTGCGAGATTTTGCGAATTCTATAGTCTTGGACCGAAAATCGCACCTAAATCGGAAGAGACTATTTGTGACGTTGAGAATCAAATTTGCACTATTCGTGAAATAGTCATCTTCTCTCATGCACCCAAAAACGTTATCCTGATGAAAGGACAACCTAGTATAGTCACTGAACTATTTGGAGACTTCCATTTCACATTCAGGTCATACAAGGACCTGAAGATGCTTTACATCAGTCCGTTGACTCATCAACAATTGGTGTATTCGAAGCCTCACATATATTGTTTGATAAATATTCAGCATCAATGGAAGACATAGATTTCAAGTACCTGTGCATAACCATGGCAAACTCTTTCGACGTAAGACCCACGCCACTCACATACAAATTGGACGTGTAAGCAATAACTTGAAGTACGCAATGGTGATAAAATGAGATCGTTCTGTCAACCATCAATATATATTTCACGAAACTTCATTCTTTTTGTACAATAGGGCATTCAGTGAATCATTTATTTCGTGTCATTTTCCTCTGGTTATTATTTTCAAATGGAATCCAGTTAATTCATGGTTGTATTTATGATTAAATCAGAGCAGTTCTCCATAGCCAGTTCCAACTGGTTTGCGAAAGCAAATTGTATGTATTTCAGAAAAAGTGTTACCTTGAGGCGCTGGATCGATGGGAACCGACGAATGTTCAGATAAACAGTATATTCTGTACGCAATGAAACAATAAACTATTTTGTCAGATACAAATTAAGATGCTAAAGAAGCAGCGTGCTTATTCCAGAAGGCTCGGAAACTAACATCTGCATCCATAGCGTTTACATCTGTCAGCAGGGTGCCTATGGCGGAAACAACAACAAAAGGTTACCAAGTTTGTTCATCATCCTAATGGTTTGTTTATATGAACTATGATGTTAACAATAATTTCGTTGGAGATGAATACCCCTCATCTATTACTGAATTGAATGTTCGGAGTTTCAAACAACTAGATTACAGCACTGTTGTGAAAGACCTACAAAGGTAAGATAACATCAATCATTTGTAACAATGATTACCAAGAACACATCCAATAGGATGAACAGTGCACCAGCCTCGTAAGACATGAAATTTTACTGAATGCTTGCATCATTTGGGTCGCCAATCCAGTCTACACCTTGAAGCAAGGCAGTCAAAACAGACACTCATTAGTAACATCTTGTGAAAATTAACATTACTATTCAGATCAGAAGTTGAAGGCATTGACAGAACTGACGAAAGCAGATGGCGTAGCAATCATGCGTAAGTATTCTATTTGTTTACTTTAATAGCATGTTTCAGCTTGTTTAAGAAAATTGACATCTGCTGTTGAAAGGCTTCAAGATGAAGGGCCTGCAGACAAGTCCTCAGAGCTCCTTGAAGGTTTAGGAAGTAAAAACGAACTCGGCCTACCTGTAAATTCCAGAGAATAATTCAACAATCTAGAAAAGGAGGTGGCAAACTAAGAGTTCAGAGAGGACTACCTAAGTTTCCAAACGATACTTAAGCACAGTTTTCCGCCAATTTGAAGCTGAATACTGGAGACATGAAAATCAGCATGAAGCGTATACTGCGATATCCTTTCGATGAGTAATTCATAAAAAGTTCAAAGAAAATCAAGATAGACATACACAACCTGCACATGAAGGGATGTGCTCCTTTTATTGCCGAGCTTTTCAAATCCCTCCCCCCATTTGGAAACTAGCATCAGCGTAGCACTTCCGGTCATCCGAAGGAAATATATTTCTGCTGTCACATTTCATTCATACGGTAGTGAGACTTTTCTTTCAGACCCTACCAAAGTGTAGTTGTTTACACTACAATGGTAGTGGTAAATCAAGAATCACTTTCCCTGATAAAGTTAATTACTACACAATGATGATTGTGCGAGGACTAATTCTTATTGCTATCTGGAGGGGTGTGATAGGAATGAGAAGTTTCCTGTGGACGACCAGCTGTAGCAAGTTGATACTGCCCGCCATTTGGAAAGAGGCGATACAAAAGGCCAGATTTGAAAGTAGCACTCTCCTCTCTACCCTGCGTCATAGCAGTGCCAGAGATCTGGGTTGTTAGTCAGAGTCGAAACTAATAAACCTAAATCTTGAAGTTTCGGAAACGCATTGTTAATGCAATCTATCAGTTGTCTCTTCTGCTCTCCTGTCAGGCATTAAGTACTAAGGCTGAAAGTGCACTCCTCGACTCAATTCAGGCTGACAGTCACCTATACGCTGTTCGAATAAATGGTGTAGTGAGGACTAACACCAATAGTAAAACTCGCTGTGTCGTTGTAACCAATACTTTCACACCGACTGACCGCAGTTTGTAAGAACTGGAAGATGAGTTTTACCGAAGACTGTCTATCCTTCAACTAAAATCCAAATCGTTGGATGTGGCTTTCTAAGCAGCTATTTCCAGTACATTAGGAGTTAGGCATAGTAAGCGTAAGTTCTCTTAGGTTATTCCTTTCGAAGTTCAGCTGCAGGGATATTTAATAGGTAGTTACCTCCCGCTACGATTTCACTTAGATATGTGCTTGTTTCTTGCTCTCTTTGACTTCAGCTATAAACGGAGACCACCTCTTGCCTGTGGTCGACAAACCTCAACTGGACTGCAGGGACAGATAGACCATATTGCCATCACTTATTCATAGTGGTGTCTTTAGGAGAGTTTAGCTCAATTTTACCCAAATTTATAAACAAAGAGACAAAATATCACTGCATCATGAAGCATTAATATTTTCGTTTAGCAGGATTGTTGTTCCTCTGACATTGAGACCTGATTTATTGTATGTATACCCAGGTGCTAAAGCATGAAGTTGTCAGCACATCAAATATGCTGGCGACTGGAAACTGATCGTGATAGTGTAAGAAAGTCAAAAAGTTGTTCTGATTGTTTACATAAAATATTTTACGGAAAATAATTATGGAATCCATGACCTGCGTCTTGTGCGACATGGAAGCACATTCACATAAACAGATTACTGTGACCCTTTCTGAAAATCATACTGCGCTTCACCCATGGTGGACTCTTATTCTAGATGGCTCAATGTACTACTTACACCTAATTACACTAATGACGCGAAATTGATGTACAGCGATGAGGCGGGGGGGGGGGATATCATTTATGATGGGACATCTAGTGTCTCAGTCACTGGTGATGGGACTCATCCCACGAAGAAGGACTTCAATGGTCGTCTTAGAGATATTGGTTGTCGTGATTTGCATGCAACTCCAAGCCATCATCAGTCAAATGGGTTGGCAGAATACTTCGTGCAGACATTGATGTATTGTAGCATCGGTAAATTCAAGCAATTCAGAAGGGCTCGAAAAGTATGTCGATATTTTTTTACTTCAGCATTGGAATACA